AGAGAGAGAGAGAGAGAGAGAGAGAGAGAGAGAGAGAGAGAGAGAGAGAGAGAGAGAGAGAGAGAGAGAGAGAGGGCGGGCATTTGACGATCGTTAATGACTGGATAGACCCCCGAGGGCGGGAGAGGGAGGGATGGAGAGAGGGGAGAACAGTAGGAGAAGGGGAAGAGTGAGGGAGGAAGATATGGCGAGAGGGACAGGGCAGAGAGAGATCCCAGTGGGATAGTAATCTTCGGGGCACTATCCCCTCTTCGTGGAGGCACGGTCGTCCTGCCCATAGATGATTCTAAATGTTAGAAGAAAAAAAAATGCTGACGAAATATTGATTGTGTGATATTACTACATCCTTTAGGCGCTTCTTCTCCATTCAGTACCTTTTTTTTTCTTCTTCGTGTGCTGCTATGCTGTGGTCTCTTCACTTCTGGAGCGCCTGCCGTCACTCTATTATTACCATATCTTTTTTTTTTTTTCCTTTTTTAATTTCAATCTCTGTTCTACTGGTGGCTTGTCGCCAGACCGTCTGGTTGCATCTCTCCTCTTTCATATCGCTCTCGTGCCGGCGTTGCCGACGCCAACACCAAATGCTCATGAGCTCTGCATCGAAATCAAATGCAGAATTGATGATGATCCCATATGAATGATTTTGATCATCAAGTCACGATGTTCGTCGATTGCGCGACCAATCCTCTCAGTCTGTCTACTCTTCTTCCACTCATCAAGTTGGTGAATGGATTAAAGTAATTAAATTATGTGAATGGATAGATTGAAATCGGAGAACAACCAGTGGTCATGGGTTTCATCAGTTGTTTTTTTTCCGCTATTGCTTTTTCTTTTTCTTACTCACGGCCATCATCGGGTATTACAGTAATTCAATTAATTCAATTAATCCATCGACATGCTCCACACATCATCATATTTTTTATCTCAACTCATCATCTTCCTTGAGCGTTGAACTATTTTCCAGATGGTAGGCGTCGTTCGAAATATCCCACCAGCAGTATATTCTTCCTTATCCCTCTCTCTCTCTCACTGCATCTCTTTCTCCTCTCTATCTGAAGGTGCAGAGAAACGAGGGGTGTTTCTCACTGGCTTTCGCTCTTGAGAGACGGAACTCGAGTAACCGAGGGAAAGTCAGTCTCGACCGCCAGCTGGTTATTTTAACAGAATACGGGATATGAAAAAAAGGAAACAAAATATTCAACCCTGGCATCAAGAAAAGTCAGGTTCATTG